ACTTATGAGATGAGCGCATCTGACACCAAACAGAGACAGGAGTGGACTACAGGTCAGACAGAACTCATATACACCTGATAGCTCATGAATCATTCTGAAAAGCTTCCAACAGAGACATTAAACACGATCTTCTTCACAGCTATTCAAACAGCTATCAGGCTGCATGTGGAGGGGAAAACGTCCCTCCACAAAGATTTGAAGTTGAAGCGGCGTGAACAGCGGGAGCAGCGGGACAAGAGATGCCACGCCAAAGAGGAGGAGCTGCAGAGGCTGCGGGCCCTGCAGGAAGAGCGGGAGCGGGGGCTGGTCGAGCTAGATCTCCTCAAGGAGGCGCAAAAGCAGGCTCAGGCCCTGCTGGAGCAGGACGAGCAGCGGAGGCGGCAGCAGCACGAACAGATGCAGCGGGCCCTGGAGGTCCAGCTCAAGGAGGCCGAGGAGGTGAGTGTGGAGAACAAAAAGACTTTGAAATCAGAAGCAAATATAGGTGAGTTTTTATTACTTTGCTTCTTACTGTGCGTGTCAAGGCTCGGGTCAGTATGCAGGCTGAGATGGTTCTGAAGGAGGAGGAGGCCGAGAGGCAGAGGAAGAGGATCCAGGAGCTGGAGGAGATGCAGAAGCGTCTGGAGGAGGCGCTGCAGCTGGAGATCAAGGCCAGGCGGGATGAGGAGGTCTTCCGCTACGCTCAAGCAGGGTTGAGTGTTAAATAAGAAGTCATTTGTTTTGGTTAACAGCTTGTAAACAATCACCAGTCACTTGTAAGAGGGAGGTGTTGTGTGCAGACAGCAGGTTTTAAGCTCAGCTGTTGAAGGAGATCATGTTGCGTTATGTTCCTGAGGAAGTTGAACTGCCGGCAGAGGAAGTTGTTTAACGCTGCCATCAGTCAGATCTATTGTATCAATGTTTTTGTGCTATCTCAAAGTTTTCAAGTAAAAGTTTCTGATGATCCCACGAATCTGCAAACATCTTGCAGCAGGCTCTCTGTGCATCAAGGAATGGTGCTACCACAGAACATTTATAAATATGTACCTTAATGAGTGAAATAATATGTCATTTATCCAATATTATTTACAATACAAATGTGGGCATAAAATTATTAATCAAATGTTTAGTTGATCTTTGCACTACGATGTCAATCAATCAACGATGAGTGTACAGTTGAATGCACTGCCCACTTTGAATGACAGACCCCTCATTTTCATAGTAAAGAAATGCATAAAGAAAATAATACAGAACAAAATTAGTCTGTGGAAATGAAATAGTGGGAAAGAATACAAATGGAAAAATACAGTAATAAATATATTTCAAAATTAATAAATACACCAAAGATATTAATGAATGAATGCCTACATTTAATTTAACTGTTCACACATCAGTTAATGGTGTGTTTTTTTATTTGTTGACACTTCAATTATTTTATTTTATATTCTGGCAGCTTCTGTCCTCTATGTCAGTCTTCTTTGATTGTTAATGCTTCACACTATTTTTTTATTTAGCCTTTATTTATACAGGTGTAAAATCTCATCGAGACACAAGGTTTCATTTTCAAGAGAGACCAGTTCAGTGGTAACACTACCACACAAAGTTACAGACAGGACACTAAGCACAGTGGCAACACTAAAATACATCGTAAAAAAGTAGTCATTGAAATCCATATACAGTAGTCAGATATAGCAGGTGCAAACACCCACAGATGACTTCTCCGTTTAAAAAAAAATGAGTTTAAAATCCGTGATGGGTATCAAACTGGTCAGCTTAAGTTCCTGCTGAAGTGTGTTCCAGGTCAAGGGGGCAGAGTATGATATGGCTTTTTTCCCAAGCACCGTGCGTACTGAGGGGACGGACAGACTGATGTAATTTTGAGATCGTAGTCTATAGCTGTACTGTTTGTGTGATATGTAAGTGGATATGTAGAGGGGCAGCAGTCCAAGCATAGCGGTATAGATGAGTGTGTACCAGTGCAGTGATCTGCACATTGATAATGTTGTCCAGTTGACTAAAGGGTCTTGTCTTGTGTACAATAATGTTATTGTTTGTGTCCTCTGTTGTTTCCAGGTTACTGGGCGAGGAGGAAGAGAAAATGAAGGCCCTGATGTGCCTGCAGGAGGAACAGGAGGAGTACATCCTGAAGACCCAGAGGGAGAAGCAGGAGCTGAGACAGGAAATGGAGGTTAAGTCCCGGTCCCTGGATGAGGCTCAGAGGCAGCTGGAAGAGGTGCGGGCCAACCGGCACAAAGTGGACCAGGATGTCGTGGTAAGAATACAAAAATAAAAACCCTTAGAGGTTAATAATAAAATCAACCAAATATCAAAACTACATTTAAGTTAATGATCGATCTTAGAGGCGATGTAGCTTGTTTAGGATCTGGTTTGATACTTGAGTAAAACATTGAACCAACAGCAGCAGCAGCTGCTCTCTTGTCTGTCCTTTAAAACCATAAAATGATTTGAAAGTCCAATCAGACATAATTATAGTCTTTGGAGACTTTATATGACTCATTTTATGAATTGTATACTTGACGATGGTATCAGTAGCTAAATCTTTCTGCTTATCTCACTTCAGAGAGCCAGTATTTTAAACACCTTGTATTCTGTCAATATGTTTTTCTTTAACATGAGAGAACGTTGTGTCCTAAAAGCTAAATGATTCCAATAGCTGATATTTGAAAATCAGCTATATATGCTGCTAATGCTAACAGTAGTTTAGTTCATTATTGCTTGCAGGTATTGTGCATTTTAATAAGCTGCTCTTTTTCTGTGACAGGCTGCCCAGAGGAAACTCCGCCAGGCGAGCACCAACGTCAAACACTGGAACGTCCAGATGAACAGACTGATGCGACCCATCGGACCAGGCGGTACGTGTCCCATGGGGCAATGGGTGACATGACCAACAAGCAGCTTCATTATCCAACTTTCACACCAGCAGATGAAGTTCAAACCTTAGGGATTTACAGTAAATCATTTGAGATATCACATTTGGAAACAGAATTATGATTGAATTCCACTTAGCTGTTTTAAATTCAGGTGTTTCTGGTACTAAATGCTATTTTCCTGGCGTCCACAAATTATATTATACTACGAATTGTACAATTGCAGAAGGGTGCAGAAAGATGAGAATCTAAATGGTGGAAAACAATGTGTAGAACATGAGGAAAAAATGATATGTTCCCTTTGTTTTGTTTTCATTGCCTGCTCTTTAAACATACTTCCTGAAATGTCCTTCTTTTTATTCAGAGAATTCCTCTAATAATTCAGCGTCCTCAAATCCAGACCACTATGCCTGACTTCACTTGCCTGCGGTAAACATTTACTGCATTTTCTGAAGCAATTTGTTTGTGCTGTTTTTAGAAAAGAGACCATCGTTGGGAAGTTCCTTCGCAAGCTTCCAGATCCCGACCCAGAGAGATCCCGGGCTGCGTATCAGGAGGAAATCAGGATCAGAGGATCAGGATGAGGAGAGCAAAGAAAACGTTGACAACAGCGTGGAATGTGATTTAGAGAAACGGCACTCCCATGCCTCAAATGGAGACATGGACATCCCATAAAAACATGAATTTAGAGGCTACGTAGGTTTCTGAAAAGGATGGTACGAGATTAAAACAATGAAACATCTGCACTTAAAACTGAATTAACTACCAACAGTACTACTGTTCCTATTAAATGTTGAATGTACTGACTTCATATCACAGAAAGAAACCATTTTTAACATTTAAGCAAGAAGATGCATTTGCAGAAGCAACTAATTCTTTGAATGCAGCCTGTGTGAGGTCTGTTCGGGACATACACCATACCTCAGTGCAAAAAACATGAGCTGTAAGCAAGATCCTGAAATAACTAATTAAGTTGTGAAGTTTAAAGGCTAATACTTACATACAATACAAGGAAGCTCATCTGTTTAACTCTGTAATATAGACACATAACAACATTTAATTTTTAAATGTGGATTTTTTTGGAGTGGAAGGCAGCTTGACTTTTTTACGTAAAAAGTTGGATCAGTATTAGAGTTTTCAGTCGATAAGTATCACTCCTGATAAACAGGAAAGAGTGAGAGAGCGAGAGCAGCTCTCATTGAACTTCCTGTTTCTGTTGTCGGTTAACATAATTGTAAATAAAAGAGTGAATTGATTCCTTAACCTGATTTCTGGCTGTATCTTTACTGTTGAAATAAATAAAATCTCAATTGATACAATATTTATACTATGAAAATCTTAAATAAATCATATTTATATGTTTGAAATGGTTTCATTTGTTTAACCAAGGCCACACTATGGAACAAGATGAAACCCACACTGCTGAATTTGCAAACTGCACGTCCGCTTGAGTTTGAATTTGTGTCAGTCATCTTTTCAGTGTCAAAATGTGTCATCGCTGACTGCTTCCACTGAAAAAGCGTTTGGGTATGAGTAGGCCGTGTCTATACAGGAGTGAACAGAGACATCCTCTGACAAACAGAGCAAAGTGCATGTAGGCTGGAAGCACTCTTAACTCAATAACTGTTTTACAAAATCTCATTCTTTATACACTTTAGGTCTAATAGTTTCATGGATTGGTAATTACAGAATTTTCTTTTTTAGTGTCCAATTTACACTTAGCTTGAAACAATTATATTATGCAGTTTTAAGAGGATTTCACAAGAGTAACATGTAAATCATGAAATAAATAGAGACACTAAATGCATAACAAAATTAAGTATTGGAAAAGTTTATCTATAGACACAGGAGGAGACTTTTTAACACGTTTTTTAAATAAAAAAACAACTTGGATTAAGAAATGTTTTTCCTATGTATTTATCATGATATCAATTCTAATTAAGTTAAGTAATTTTTTCATAATTTAGAAAAAAATCTGACACTGTAATCCTGCAGATATGATTAAAGCCAAATAGAAAATGCCCTAGTTGCATTTTACAGAAACAACAGTGCATATTAGTATTAACACATGTTTCAGACCTTGACGCCCCAGAAAGCTGTTTGTTGGATCCACTGTGTCCGAATGTGTGTGTTTGCGTGTGTCCTGGCATGTGACGATGGAGGAGGAGGAGAGGGGGGGGGAGTGAAGCAAAGCAAAGCAAGTCAAAGCTAGGAACAACAAGGAGAGAGTCGGGGAGGGATTATCAGTTCACTATGCTTATCTGCATGTGATATGCTAGTGAGCAAAAGTGTCCAAAGTGTTCAAAGTGTTTTTCTGCTCAGCGGTTTGTCAGCCACATGAAGGCCTGAGTCAATCTAAGTTTGAGTTAGCAGACTGACGATAGCTCCTGCTGCTAGCCTGGACTTCATATCACTTGTCAACAGCCGATCGATCCTGGACGGGGCTGCTTTCGCTCACATTTTATTTTCGGCCTGTTAGGTCACTCCACGTAGCGTGAAAGTCTTCTCAACCAGCAGCACTATTGGGAGAGGTAAGTAAGCTAACTTGGCAAGCATGCTAACGTTATTTAAAGCCACTCACGGGAATGTGGGTCAGCCACGCTAACAGCTAGTAGTAGTCAGCATTCAAGGTTAGCAGCTAACTAGCTAAGTGAGCTAGCCGTGCCGACTCTCTTCGACGGCCGACTGACAACCTAAAGCTGTTATATACTTATTCTAAATAAAAACGCTTGACGGCAACCGTGTTGATAACTTTGCCGTCTTTCATTCTTTTAATGTGTGTATCCAGTTACAGTCCTGTCATTAACAGGGCTGTTGCCAGACATTTCCCAGAACTAGTGTGACAGGTTGTCTGTGGGACGACGAGTCTTAACAGTCCCGATCTGTGGTGTCCGGACCTGTTGCATAAACCTTAACACAGTTCGGACTCTGTCCTGCTATGGGACATATTGTAATAATAATATTAAGTCGGAAAACATTAATACAACTGTTGTAATAAATAGACGCTGTGTGTTTGTCAGGGCACATCTACTAACTACATGGACGGATTAATCCACTAGGGGGCCGCGGGACAAATATTTAACCCCCAACCCCCAAGCCCTGTCCCCTACTGCTGCCCTCCACCAGCGATCAACACTGCTCATTGTTTACATAGTGCATCCACCGGTCCCCTTAAGCACCCACCAAGTACACTGTGTGCACCCTACCTTATCTGCCCGATCTAAGGCAAACAATAATACAGATGTCTCCCAAAGTTTACTTTTTAAGATAGTAAAGAACACACCGTTTTTAAGGATAGCCTACATTATTCCCTATATCTGGCTGTTTGTCTTAGGAATCGAGAGTTGTAGGCCCTTTATGCTCATGGATTTGGGGCTCTTATTTGATTCTTGGCCTGCATTTTTATTTAATGTAAAATTGTAACCTCTTTGAAATTAATTAAGAGTTGGGCGTTAGCAGTCGCTTTCACATATGCTGCATGAAAAATGCTCCTCCGGAGGTCTCGTTTCCAGTGTTGGGAATTTGTTCAAATTGGATGTATTGTATGTCCTTATTTAGAGCATATTTACAAGAGGTTTATATAATGTTTACATTGCTTACATCTCATTGCTGACCCAGAGATAATACATTCACTAAGACCCCCAAAACATTGCCTCTTTACCTAGACTTGTTGTCAACATTAATGCTAATAAATAACTTTTCTGACCAATATGGATCTACGTGAACGCCAACTAATAGTTACTAACCACATTACTTGTCTCCAAAAAACAGATAATTTGACAACAATTTAGCTTCTTTAGGAGCAGTGTAAGAAAAAAGGAAGCCCTGAGCCCAGAATAGTGTACCTTGCCCACAAAGGTCGCTGACCCAGTTTGTTATGGAGCAAACTACATGTGAGCAAAAACTTGATGTGCAATATTTAATTAATACCGATTGAAAGAGCATTACTTTTACTAACATCACCTTTGATTAAGTGTAACTGGGATGGACCTTTTTTTGTTTTGTTTTTTCTGACATTTGAGATACCAAACAATTAATCTAGAAAATATTCAGCAGATCAATCAATAATGAAAGTACTTGTTAGTTTCAGCCCGAGTTGCAAGTTTGTTTTCAAACTAAATTGTTGGCTGTTAATGGTCTGAGGTCACTGCTTGTCTGTTCCACTTGGCTGGTGGATAATCCAGGCATGCCTACACAGCGTGTGTATGTCATGTCATAAGCCTATTACTATCAAGGACATTCCCTTGCTGCTCAAACACAACCATTAGTAATGGATTGACTCGGAAAACGATGCCTAAATAAAAAAACACTGTAGAAGATCAGTGGGACCATTTATTTCAGTTACACTAAAAGTAAATAGCCACACTTTGTAAATTCATTTCAACCAGTGTGCTTTGATAAAAAGGGACATAATGGGAACATTTGGCCATGTAACATGTTACAACAAGTTTAACGCTCCCATTTGGTGAGAGAGTATTCACTGGAGTAGGACAGTTAACCACTCCCATGCTGGATCTATATATGATGTGTCGACTAACAGTAATGGCGTGATTGTTCTTGCTCTGAATGTAATCCTCATTTTTAGCATACATTGTTGATTTAAATGTTGCCTATTTATTCTATTCTTCAATAGTGGAACTATGATGGCAACGTGACAGGAGGGGACCCGCTGAGTCAGCTTAAACAGTAACCATGGAAGGTAGAGAGCAGCACGAGAGGGTGAATGGCCATCGCAAGTCCAAATCCCCGCAGGACACGGCCGATGGCAGGTGGTCACCTATGGAGGGAGAGTCTGGAGGTTCAGACAGCTGTGGGGGGAAAAGTGTCTCGGAGCCGATAGACATGCAAGAGTTAAAGGCCAGGGAAAGGGAAGATGAGGAGGACAAGAAGGAGAGGGATGTAGTTTCTCCTTCTAAAGGCCTGAAAGGGGACCAGAAGAAAAAAGATTGTCCCGATCAGGAGAACAAACGCAGCAAGCAAAACAGCAGTGCCGCATCCAACTACACAGGTAAGACTTTTCAAAATCCCATGACCTGCCCTCTGTAAAAGAAATGGTACTTGAAATAATGAGAGGACAAAGCTTTAATATTCATGCATTCTCTCCATGCAGACCTGTCCCATACCTCGTCGCCCTCGCTGTCAGAACAGCTACGTCTCGGCCAAGAAGACAGCACAGGGTCTGGGATCAGCGTGGAGTGTAAGGTCTGCGGGGACAAGGCCTCCGGCTTTCATTATGGTGTGCATGCCTGTGAGGGCTGCAAGGTAATATTGCAGAATAGATAAGTGACATTACAAAGTTCAATAACAGCAGTTTTGTCTTGTCCAATATGATTTGCTGAACCGGTTGCTTTGTTTCAAACTCAGGGTTTTTTCCGGAGAACTGTGCGGATGAAACTGGAATATGATCGCTGTGAGCGTTCCTGCAGGATTCAGAAAAAGAATCGTAACAAGTGCCAATATTGTCGCTTCCAGAAGTGCCTGTCTTTGGGAATGTCCCATGATGGTGAGAGGAAAACTGAAATTAGCAAATTATTCTATAAACGAGGACATGTTAATATAAAGTGTTATAGCAAAAAGAAATGTACAAATCAAAGACTTGGAAATGTAATCTGCTCATTTATTAAAATGTATTCTTATTGAATCTTTTCACATATTATTTTGTCTGTTTAGGGGTGTACAAAGTTGTTTTCAAGCTCAGTGCATGTGAACCTATAACCAATTTGCATTGATAAACGCGTATACAACAAAACATGTCTGTGTCAAAACACACCATTGAATATTTTATACTCTATTTTCTCTGGGAGCATTTTGTTAACTAAGAATCTGTTCAAGAAACTAAAAAGAATTTGTGTGTGTGTTCAGCGATCCGATATGGACGTATGCCTGAAGCGGAGAGGAAGAAGCTGGTGGCAGGCATGCTTGCAGATGAAGTGAGCCTCAGCAAACCAGGCGGATCAGACCTGAAGACTTTGGCCAAACAAGTCAACGCAGCCTACCAGAAGAACCTCGTCATGACCAAGAAGAGGGCCCGCAGCATCCTGTCGGGGAAAACCAGCAGCAATTCAGTACGTTATAGTCTTAGAACAGCTCAGTTCTGGTTTTACAGATGTATAAATCTATGTAGATATAAAGTAAAGGTAAAACATTATTATCAATGGGTCACAGGAAATAATTATTGCATTTATTTATAACTGCTGGTGGCTTAAAATACTATACTAATACTAATCTACGCACACTATATCGTTTTAAAAAGTAAGAACACATTTAAACATTGGATTTTAACACACAACTAGAACACCGCTTTTGTAATTTCTTAAAGGCACGCCGGGGAGGTAAAAGTATTAACACTTAAAGAACTACACCTCTGTCACATGACTTCAATGTCACAATCACTATATCACTTTAGCGCTTTGAGCACCAGGAACAGCGCTATATAAATGTAATGTATTATTATTATTATCACTGTGTTGATGAGTTTCCTGGTTCGCCGTGATGACGTTTATTGACAACCACTGTTAGTCTCACTTAGCAACTTGTAAGCAACCACTTTTTTTTAAGACAGAAAAGCTCACAAATGGGGTCATGTCGCTGAACAAAAGTGAAAATCCCTTGACAAGTGTTAACTAAAAATCCTATTGAAAACCCCATTAACTTTGAGACAAGGTAACAGGAAATGCAAAAACTCCTTACTGGGTTTTAGGACTCATTCCTGCAGCACTCTCACCTGTGACCACGTCATGGTATATGTAGCTCCAAGTATTTTAAATTTACAGATGACATTTATGTTTTTGTTTTGTAATTCGTTTTTTTTTGTCCTCTGTGTAGCCGTTTGTGATCTATGACATGGACACGCTCTGGCAGGCTGAGAGTGGCTTGGTATGGAGCCAGTTGATTGCAGGTGCCCCCCTGACCAAGGAGATTGGGGTCCATGTGTTCTACCGCTGCCAGTGCACCACGGTGGAGACGGTGCGAGAGCTCACAGAGTTTGCCAAGAGCATTCCAGGGTTTACGGACCTCTACCTAAATGACCAGGTGAGTCGCTGCCTGCTCTGTGTGCGCTATAGGAAAATGATTTGTAGGGCGGTGCGTAACAGTTTCTATTTTCAGTTTCTATTGTTGACATTTATATTCTTAATCAACTAAGTGCAGCACAGCTTCTTTTTTTTGCATGTGTATTAATATTTATGCAAAAAATTATTCAAAATAAGATGACACTGATATTATTGGTATTAAACTACTTTATTCGAGTGGTGGCTGCGTAGGTTTGTTTCAGACTTGTGTGATCCAAACGTTTACAATAAATCAAGGGTGTAGTTTAGTCCAAAGTTAAGATATTTTGACGGATACATGTTTTATCTAACAACATATTCTGCTTCCATCCAGAAGCATTTTGCCTTTTTAAATACAACATTTCTATTGCCATAGTGGTCAAAACTGCTGAGATATATTTATAGAAGAAAGCAGATTAAATACTCAAAGGATAATAATTGCCAAATTGAGTATTTTTGTTGAGAATTGTTGCCATTAATATACAATTGTCTGTGTGCAGGTTACTTTGCTGAAGTACGGTGTGCACGAGGCTATTTTTGCCATGTTGCCCTCTCTCATGAACAAAGATGGACTGTTGGTGGCAAATGGAAAAGGCTTTGTGACCAGGGAGTTTCTGCGCAGCTTGAGGAAGCCTTTCAGTGAGATCATGGAGCCCAAGTTTGAGTTTGCCGTTAAGTTTAATGCTCTGGAGCTGGATGACAGCGACCTGGCCCTGTTTGTTGCTGCCATCATTCTCTGTGGAGGTGAGACTAAAGCCCGTTTGAAGTATCAAGAATGTTTTCTATATGAATATTGTTGCAGTCTTCATAAGAAACCATTTTCCTCAAAAGAAATGGCCCTAGAGAGTTTAAAAAGATCTTCAATTGTATTTCTTGAACTCTGAAATGTTTGTCAGTCATAAGCGATTGCAGGCTGTTGAGAGACACCTATGAACCAATGCAGGATGAACACTGCCTTTGCTTGAGTGCTGTAAAGTGTCTGAGTCCAATTTGATCAAAGATATATCCCCATAATCAGATCTATGTAGTGTTAAACTTTATTTGAACTTTCGGTTTAACACAATGTAATCAGTTTGAATCCATTATCCATTCCATTGGTTAATCCATCAATTCATTTGATGCCGCTTGGAACGGGTTCTGGCTGCATTATTTCAACTATTATATCATTGAAAGATTATGCTAAAAACCGGGTTTAATGTTTTCATAAAATTGTGGAAACTGTTCATCCCAGTTTCTAGTACCCAAGTTAAATTTGTTAAAATATATTATTTTGTCAGTCCAAAAAAGACATTCAGTTTAATATGATATAAACATTTAAAAAAAGCAGGAAATCTAAAGTTGAAGTTGAACACGTATTGATTGGTTTTATGATTTCAAGTCAGTCAACTTTATTGTCAATCTTTGAGTCTGTGTGTACAGACGGAGAGATCGAAATACCGTTTCCAACAATCCCGAATACAAAAACAAATATATATATACACAATCAAAAGACACATTTATACATATGCACACATTAAGACATAAATAAAAGCAGAACAATCAAAATATTATATCTATGTTTGCTCAGCGACAATTGTAACTCATAACAAAGAGTCCGTTGTTGTTGTCCCAGATCGTCCCGGGCTAATCAACGTGAAGCAGGTGGAGCAGAGTCAAGACAACATCCTCCAGGCCCTGGACCTCCACCTACAAGCCAACCACTCTGACTCAGCCTACCTCTTCCCCAAGCTGCTGCAGAAGATGGCCGACCTCCGTCAACTAGTAACTGAAAACGTTCAGCTTGTCCAAAAGATCAAAAAGACTGAGTCGGAGACCTCGCTGCACCCCCTACTACAGGAGATCTACAAAGACATGTATTAGTGTTCTCCAGCACAGACTCATTTTAGCAATACTGTTACAGACTGAATATACTTTCATGATTCGACACTGCATTCAGTACAAGCACTGTTCCACGTACAGGCATGGATTGAAACGTGCAGAAGAGGCAACGTCGCATAGTAGGGCTAACACAATCAGCAATGTCTTCTAAATGTCAGCATTATCCTCAGGTGTGTGTGTGTGTGTGTGTGTGTGTGTGTGTGTGTGTGTGTGTGTGTGTGTGTGTGTGTGTGTGTGTGTGTGTGTGTGTGTGTGTGTGTGTGTGTGTGTGTGTGTGTGAGAGAGAGTGTGTGTTTGTGAGATGAGCATCTGGAATCATTTGCTGCAAGTCCTAGTTTCCCACAACGGTCACTTAACAGAGAGAAAGATTTGTTTTCTCACGAGGCTGCTCCTGTTACATTCTAATAGCAAAGCTGACCCCAGAGCAGCGTCTGTAGAGAACTCCTCCTCGCTCACCTCGGCTCTGTGTTTGTCTGTGAAAGGAAAGCATTTCATGTTCGTAACACCAATGGCAGAGTTGAATTAGAAAAGAGCTGAAAGGTTTGAACGGTGCAAGAGTTTCTTATGATGCCAATGTCTTTGGCAGAGTGATTGTTCTCAGACCTTTGGTAAAGCTGAAGATGCACAATTCGGTTTTTGTTTACATAATCATCATCCTCATCAATGACCGCGATTTTGCCATTTGGTTAATAAAACACAAACTGGGCTGGCTCCAGCAGTGTATAGAGCTCTCTCAAAGCAGCTTTCTGTGCAATACCGTTTTTCAATAAATGTGGAGATCCAAGTTATATAGGTTTTGTCTTAAAGCCATCTACCCAAGTGGTAATTTATGGACTATGCTGCACAGATTTTGTCTCTAAACTGACACTATAAACACATTACCCACTTAAGTACAAGGGACCGCATGTTTTTCTTTCTTTTGACATGCAAATGATCGTGAATTTGCCATTTTAATTTGTTTTTCTTAGTCCATTCTTTGTAATTATGTTACTAATTATTTGTAATTGTTGATCATATGTGTAAGGGCAAAACATGAATTATCATCATGTGTTATGTGTGTGTGTTATTTCATATTACATGACTGTTTATTTAGTTTAGGTTGTACCAAATATATTGTCAAGCATACCAACAACAATTCCTTGATGAGGAATTAGGATTTCACGCCTCAGCAGGATGGACCTAAAACCAGCATAATGTATCACAATGTCATTATTGGGAAAATGAATGATGAATTAGAAATCAACATCCAGCTCTTGTATCATAAGTCACTTCTGTACTACACAAGATATAAGCACAGTCCTGGATTAATTTCCTTTTTGTGTGCAATCGGAATGTTCTTGTTGGGAGAGCTACAAAGTGTGAAAGCCTTATGATGCTGTTGACAGGATTCACAAGTTTCCTACCGTTTTTCTTCCCCTCCCCTTAAGTATCTCAGCACTGGTGCACAAAGTCACCTCCAGAAATCTTCCCCCTGTGCTCTTAATCTGTCTTGATCCCTATCTACCTCTAATGTATGATCTGTGACTTCATCCCACTGTCTCATCTGATCTCTGACGTTTTTTTTGCCTTAATTCTTTGAATCTGAAATTGCTAATGTGCAGTGTGCCAATTTAGCAAAGGGTGTGGATGGATAAATAAGAAAGTAAACCAAAAAGTTTATGTAAGCTACCTCTATGCTTGTTTTGAGTGATGGATTGACATATTTGCTCACACAAACATGTTAAGACTTGAATACGTTTCATAGTCACATGTAACATACCTGCAGAACTAGTTTAGTTACATTTCGCTTATAAATTGTATTAGAAATATTAACACTGATTTTCTCTATTTTTTATCATCAGACCGACAAAGTGTATTTACCCGGGTACCATACTTTGGTTCACAGACTTTATTTTAATATTTCATTGTAGGCCACCCTATACTTCTACTCTACTACATCTAATGGTAAATATAGTACTTATCAATCTACTAAATGTATTTTATACTTTACATAATATTACCCAGTATTATAAACAGCTTTGTTGACGAATTTCAGTATTAAAATGCTCCTAGGTGTATTTGTTAGCAATATAAACTGAATAATGGTATATAACTGTCCAAAATAATCCATTCTGAATAAGGAGTACTTTAACCTTTGATACTTTAAGTACATCTGAGTACTTATTCTACCTCTGAGTATTTGTCTAATACACATGCATGCAGTTTATCAACTTAATTTACTTGTTTAAGTACTCCCTTGTATTATAACAATTTAACATTGGGACTAAAAGGAAGTTGGAATACGTAACAAACGTGCTTACGTCAGCGTCACCTTTCCATTGGTTGGTTGCTAAGCTGATTGGTGGAGGGAACCACCTGTCAACTATTTAAAAGATAGTGAGGAAGACGCTGTTTGGGGCATGCTCAAAACATACGGAGGATGGACGCAGCTCGTGGTGAAAGTATCTGTAGGTAAGCGGCAGGTGTATTAAGCAATTACCTTTAAAGGTAGTTTATCTGATGGTGAGAAACGTTACTAACGAGCCTGTTGGGGCTGTCTTAACGCTGTTGTGCTGCATTCGAAAGCGGACGTTATGGTGGATAAGTAACGATTTGAGGATTAAAAAAACTCGCTTTGGGAAAAAAAATAACAAAGTTGGTTTTTGAGTGCGTTTTGCAAGAAGAGCCATGTTAATAAATGTGATGGGTGTGTGTAAATTAAGGATCAGTTTAGCTAGGCTTTGAAATCGGCTCAAATATTGGCCGAAACTGTTAAATGCCTTCAAATTCAACGAGACTCTAACGTTAACTATTCTGAACATTGTCAAAATCATTACTTTTTGAAGCTGCTGCCCTAGATTTCCCGAATACACGTAAAAAAAAATAAGGGGCAACGTGTTTGCAGTTATCCCACCCCTTAGGCCCCGGCCCCACGAGGACGCATACGACTAAACGGGCTAAACGCATAGGATTAAATCCTATGCGTTTAGCCCGTTTAGTCGTATGCGTCCTCGTGGGGCCGGGGCCTAAGGGGTGGGATAACTGCAAACACGTTGCCCCTTATTTTTTTTTNAGGAACAATTACCTTGATGCGCAGGTTTGGCTGCCCTACTCCTGACGAGCCCTGATAATGCGTCTTAAGGGACACACCACCAGTGGTAAGGGTACTAGCAGGTTAAGCTGAGTGACTGTAGAGCTAGCGGCGGCGGAGCCGTATGGCCCGGACGGATAAAGGCGGATGCTCATAGTAGACCACGGGTATGCGACGTTCGCTTGAGTACAAGAGAGATGATAGCGGATGAATCTACCCATACCCTGCTTCAAATAAAAACATAACCATGTGTGCAAAATTGAAACTCAAAATATATGAGTTGCAATTTATGAGGCATGTGACTATAATGAGAGGTGTCTGGGTAGGTTAAATACCTGAACAACCTGCCCAATGATGTAGCAATGAGCTCACAGCATAACATTATTAACAAGTGGTTGCCAGGGCATGGCAACCGCGCGCATCCGACTTTTTGATCACTGGAAAGCCTCATCCTCCCCAGCGATGACCCACTCCCTTCGCGACCCCTCCTGTTCCCTCACTCGCGTCCCCTTCCCTTGCATCTTAGCTCCGCCTCCGGCTAAATGCGGAGCGCAGGGTTTGGAGACACCGTTGCCAAAACTGAAAAACGGGTTGCGCCTTATTTTTAATACCTTAATTTTAATAATTAAGATGACTATACAAGGTTATACATCAACTTAATAATGACATGTGACCAAGAATGTTCAAATGCTGTACAAGTAGTAAATTGCGTGTGTGTGTGCTAAGAGTGGTAGTAAAACTGGTCCACTCGCCCTCACTTGCTGGTGCTACAAAAATACCAGTAGTGCTGTGTCTGTCCTGTTCTTCATAGATCCCTCCACAAATGAATTGAGCAGTCACAGGTTTCTTGATCCAGCGTGTCCGTTGTCTTCCCTTTCAAAGTGGGTTTTCTGATCCTTTGTGCTGACCGCCCATCCATAGACCCATTGGCCTTCACATTTGAGTTTTGTAATGGCCAGCTAATACATTATAATGTCTAAATAAATGAAACCATTCACAGGTTGAACATTGATATAATTCATTGATGCTGTAAAATACCTTTAATAGTCTAACTAGTATTTAAATGTGTTACCTTTTTATAAAGTGATTATAATTTATGCAACCATTTTCTATGGTAAGTTTCGTTTGCAGCTTTTATTTTGGTAGTAATAAGATCGGGACTCTTATTTTTGGAAGGAATTTACCGAAGTGAATGGAAAACATTCCTTTTGTTCTTTCGTTCGGGTTTTACCTTACGCTCCACCAGTGAATCCACTTTGAACTTCATTGAGAAGTTGAGTGTTGGCTGAACTTTTATCACCAGTCAATCAACTTATTTTTGCTTCGCCATTTTTTTGTAAAACAAACCACACGCTCACCGCGCACGCGAGTAACGTGCATCGCTTCTGGCTCCGTAATCACCGCCAATGCACGTGCAATTATTGGTATCAGGTTCCGACTGGTCACACCAATTTAAATATTCACTCTTAAACGATATGAACATTTATCTTATTTGGGGTGCACGTTTTGCTGTCTTATTTCTTATGTAAAAACTGGTTGCCACTGATGGCAACCAAAGTCCAAGAAGTGGTACATTTCCAAATGGTTGCCAATGGCAACCTGGCAACCGTACTGTCAAGCCCTGATATAGGACTAGCTTAATTAGCAGTTTAATTACGCCACGGTGGAGACGTAGATGACATAGATAGATGCTGGTTGGGTGATTAGGACTGTCTTCTTATCATCTTACAATGAGCTTTCTCTTTCTCCCTGAAAAGAAACCCCCAAATCACGATGGGCAGCATCCGTGGCTTGTGTTGAAGCTTTTGAACCGTTGAGCCACAACGTCATAATACCCATGGATGTATAACAAGAACCATATTACGCCTCCTGCTACCCGGGTCGCTGGGTTGACACGATGGAATAAAAGAGCTCAGACCCTCACTTATATGAGGTCGGAAAAGTCATAAGTATTAATAGAGTACAAGCATAAATAAATGTCGATAAAACTTGAATAAATATTTGTGCAGATTGTAGTATATCCAGTGTTTTTGGGTAGATTCAGCGTGGGGCTGTGCCAGCTGGAAAGCAGCGACCACGACCGCAGGGTTTGCTTTATAGAAGCTACAGCAAATGAGATTAATGCGCTTAATAGGGAGTGGATTCCTGATATGGTTTAGCCTTCTCAGGGTAGCAACATGGTTAAGTTTTATGGAATAAATATAAGATACGAATCCCTCTTGCAAGTTTTACCAGCCTCCTATAGGCTTTCAAATCCACATCGTTCGAACTGAATGAAAACCAATTTGTTAACATGAAAATAGGATTTTATGTTCGTTGTTTAGAGTTATTCTAGGCTTATCTTGGAACTCGGTATGAGATAGAGCACAATGTTGAGATTTCCAATTTGCTGTTTTACACGCTTTGACCAACAGGGGGTTTATTTCAATGAAGCCAATGGATGAAGCTCATGAGATGAACCCTTTGCGAACTCAATTGGCGAAAGCCTCGAGCTTCATAAGGCTTCATCTCGCCATCACTACTGCTTGCCACCTAAGACGCACTGTAGTGACCAGTACTGCTACTGAGCCGGAGAGAAGTAGTTCGATGAGATGTGCTGAGGCCGCCTGCCTGCCTGCAAGGGTTGTGGTTGAAGCGGAAGTGGGTGAAGCTT